AGGGTCACCATTAGAGACATCTGGTGGAGGGGAGGCGGAGGCCAGCTCTCTGCCATCTGGCACAGCTGGACCACTGTCGCTGTCCACAGGCTCCTCCAGGGGTCAGTACCACACCCTGCAGGCCGGCTTCAGTTCCCGCTCCCAGAGCCTGAGTGGAGACAAGACCTCGGTGAGTGACAGCCCTGGCCAGCTGGACCACTGTCGCTGTCCACAGGCTCCTCCAGGGGTCAGTACCACACCCTGCAGGCTGGCTTCAGTTCCCGCTCCCAGAGCCTGAGTGGAGACAAGACCTCGGTGAGTGACAGCCCTGGCCCCAGTGGGGACGGTCTGAGCTGTGCAGTCCACACAGAGTGGGAGGCTCTGCGGTAAGGCTGGGGGCTCCAGGGTCAGAGAGTGGGATGGGCGCCAGGTGAGCCCCGGGCACCCCCTCAATGCCCACTCCCCACCCACAGACCTTCCGGCCCATCGCCAAGCCAGCCTACAGCCCGGCCTCCTGGTCCTCCCGCTCGGCTGTGGACCTGAGCTGCAGTCGGAGGCTGAGTTCTGCCCACAATGGGGGCAGCGCCTTTGGGGCTGTGGGTTATGGGGGTGCCCAGCCCACCCCACCCTTGCCCGCCCGGCCTGTGTCCTACCACGAGCGTGGCGGGGTTGGGAGCCGGTCTGACTACGATACGCTGTCCCTACGCTCACTGAGGCTGGGGTCCGGGCCCCTGGATGACCGCTACAGCGTGGTGTCAGAGCAGCTGGAGCCCACGGCTGCCTCCGCCTACAGGGCCTTTGCCTACGAGCGCCAGGCCAGCTCTGGCTCAGGCCGGGCAGGGGGGCTGGACTGGCTGGAGGCTGCGGAGGGCCCCCCTAGCCGGACCATCCGTGCCCCTGCCATGCGGACCCTGCAGCGATTTCAGAGCAGCCACCGCAGCCGTGGGGGGGCTGGGGCAGTGCCAGGGGCTGTCCTGGAGCCCCCTGTGGCCCGAGCACCATCTGTGCGCAGCCTTAGCCTCAGCCTGGCTGACTCGGGCCACCTGCCAGACCTGCGTGGCCTGGACAGCTACGCCGGCCACCGCACCCTGCAAAGGCTCAGCAGCGGGTGAGCAGCCAGGCCTGGCACAGGGAGGGGGCTTCTGCCATAGCCTGGCGCAGACCCAAGATTAGCCTGACACCCGAACCCTTACCCCTGGCCCTGCAGATTTGATGACATCGACCTGCCCTCAGCAGTCAAGTACCTCATGGCCTCAGACCCCAACCTGCAGGTGCTGGGAGCGGCCTACATCCAGCACAGGTGTTACAGCGACGCAGCAGCCAAGAAGCAGGTGATCATCCCACTGGCCCCTGAGTGCCCCTGATGACCACCTTCATTGGCCCCCCACCTCTCACTGACCTCTGGTCCCTGACCGCCCTTCACTGGTCCCCAAGCTGACTGGGCAGACCCTACCCCATCCAGAGCCTCCTTGGCAGAGGAGAGGCAAGAGGATACAATTTGCATGTATCTGCATAAAATGTTTTAAATCTACATGCATGTGCATACACCTGTACACACCTGCATGTACGTGCACAAACCTACATACACCTGCACACATCTACATACATTTACACTCATTTCCATATGCCTGGATATGTCTGTAAACACCTGCATACCTATACACCTGCGTGTATATACTTGAGTGCACTTGCATTTATCTGTATATGCCTATATACACCTGCATGCACCTGCATGCACATTCATATACCTACATACACCTGACATACATGCATATAACTACATATATGTATGCTTATTTTCATACACCTGGATATGTACACAAACACCTGCGTACCTATACGTACACCTGCATACATTTGCATATATCTGTACACATCCGCGTACACCTGCATCACCTGTGTGCAACTGCATATAACTACATACACCTACATGCCCCTGTGCGTCTCCACATTCTTGGATGTGTCTGCATACACCTGCAGTCTGCAAAATCCACAAGCATGCACGCACGTGTGCAAACGCCCGCATGCCTGTGCCCGCAGGCCCGCAGCCTTCAGGCCGTGCCTCGGCTGGTGAAGCTCTTCAACCACGCCAACCAGGAGGTGCAGCGCCATGCCACGGGCGCCATGCGCAACCTCATCTATGACAATGCAGACAACAAGCTGGCCCTGGTGGAGGAGAACGGCATCTTTGAGCTGCTGCGGACGCTGCGTGAGCAGGACGACGAGCTGCGCAAGAACGTCACAGGTGTCCTGGCCTCGACCACACGGCCTCGGGGCCGCCCCTCTCCCACACCATCTCCTCCTCCCCTTCGCCTCTGTGTGCCTTCCTCTACCAGCCCTGTCCCTACTCTTGCTCCCCGCCCTGTCCCATCTCTTTCCTTGGTCCCAGAGGACTGTTCTTGCATGTTCTTTGACTCTGTGGGGCCTCCTCCAGCCCCAGGCCCTCTTGTCCCCCAAGCCTTGTCCTGTCTTGCTTGGCCCCAGCCCTGTAACCCCAAAAACCACACTCGGGGTCTCCCAAGCAGGATGCCTGGGCAGCACACAAAGCACCATGTGCCCCTGAGGAGAGGT